AAAAAGCACCCAGTGACTTACTGAGGCGTTTGAATGAGGGCAAGGGAGTACCATTGAATTGAATTACAGCAAGGCCGGCTTTGGCACGTTTGGAGCGAAGCTCTGTTTCAGAGTGAAGGAAAACGACGGTTGAATGCAACAGTTTGAATAGCTGGTCTATTCATAAAGGGGAGAGTGTGGTTTGCACTCTGTGCAAGGGAGTTGTTTCTCGGAACTCTGTCTGTGTGTGTTCCTGTGTGTGTGTGCGAGTGTGATGACGTAGTGACGCTCAGTGGAGAAACAGCGTCGGGCCAAAAGAGATAGACCCCCTCCAGTGCTAGTTAATTATTAGTGTGGATTCCAGCATGTGACTGGTCAAGGGCAACTAAGCAGTGTCATCGCAGAGAAGGGAAGACAGGTGTGCGCTGGGCTGGGCTGGGCTTGTGGTCGTGTCAAGCAGCCACAGACAGTTTCATTTCTGTCTGTTTTAGATTCTTTCATCCAGCTTTTTAGCATGACGTGAATTCATCCCTGAAGCAGTCAGAGTAGTATCACTCTGTGCTGTTATTATATATGCAGTAGATTCTCTCGTTCAGTTCAGCAGAGCGGCATCTTGACAGGGAGTGCATTTAAATGGCCGTGAGTGGAGAGCGCCGACCCAGGGAGGCATCTTGTCCTGATCAGCTCTGACTGATGAGTGATGTCATCGTGTTCCGGAAATCTCTTTCGCACTTACTCACCGATCTGATGTGTCACACTTGCGGAGTTGCTGTGATGCATACGTGTGATTTTTTTTTAATCGATGGAGCAAAAGCATTTCCATTTTTGCAGTGGTGAACCATGACTATAAGAGCGAGGCCTTCAGTTGAGGGGATAAATGTCCAGAACAGACTAAGGCCCAATCCCATTTCTTCTTTTTACCCCTACCCCTTGTTTTCGAGTTGAACTCTTGCCCTGCGAAATGGAACAAAAATAAAAACAACATCACTTCATTAACAGCTACTAGCGCTGCTCTGTAGGCGACCCTGCCAGTCTGCAGTGACAGCAGAGGAGGGTAAAGTTCAGCTCCTCACTGCTGGGCTTTAGTTACATTTAGGGCATCATATGCTTTTAAAGAGGGGGGCAATTATTTATTATCACCCACCCCTAATTCTTCAGTGATATGAAGCTGAAGTCAGATATTCACCAGCTTCTTGTTCGAATTTTCCCGTTCCGCCTTAAATGGTGCAGCAGTTACATTCTGGCGCTTCAGGCGTCAGAACTGCTGGACTATTTAAGGTGGAACGGGAAAGTTAGCTAGCTAGCTACCGAAACATTAGCATGCTATTAGCGATTTTTTTATGCTTGTTATGAAGAAAACGACCAAAATACACTGAAACGACGGTCAGGCTACCATTCGTACTCATAGTCAGTGGACTTCCGGAAGGCCAAGAGTGGTGTCTTTTTTTGTTGTTGTTTATTTGTTTGTTTGTTTTTTTTATGAAAATGGTCACGCTCAGTGGAAATCAAAACACGTGACACATTAGGCCTCCTGAAAGGAGCTTGTTTGGCTGTATCTACAGAGATATCACAGAGGAATAAACTCTGACTGGGTAACTTTCTGTTGGGTGTTTCCCACCAAATCTTAGCAGTAAAAGAGAAATACTACAATACTTGCAAAGTTCAAAAATGATTATATTAATTAAAATTTAACTATTACAGACTTGTGTTTTTTTATTTCACAGAAGCAATTAGGCCTTTTAGCTTTCTCCTCCAAGCTCATGGAGTGTCCAGGGGCGTTATGTTAGTGAGGAGGCGTGCACTAGCCCTCACCCTCCCAGCTTGGTAGCATTGAGTAATTGTGAGGAGACCTAACTAGTGATGGCATTTGGGTTAAAAATTGGGTTTAAAAAAGAAAAACGTAACTATTGGAACCTGTTTTGGTAATAAAAGGTATGTCCCTCATAAAACAATTAGAAGGTTTCGCAAAAGTCACTCCAGAATCAGTACCAATGTCGAGGTATCAGTATTGGTAATGGTATCTAAATATTTTGAATGATACCCAGTCTTTGTTACATGATACACATGTGGGACAGGCATATGACCCAAGTCTTAATATTGTAAAAAAACAAACCTGTATGTCTGTCTGTATTTTAAGTAGAACAGGGGGCAGTCAAAGGAGAGTAAGTGGAGAAAAAAGCAAAAACATATTAAAAGATGTAAAGAAAATGTGAAATTGCGCAAAAGCCGATAGACCAGCAAAACCGTCCCTGTCAGATAAACAGCACTTAAAGCTTTCATCTTCTGAAAACATCCATTTCTGTCCATCGTTCCACTGTGAGAAGACGACTCAGCGCTGAGTCTGAAAGGACGTGTAGCTGTGAGGAAGCTGTTTCTGAGAAAAGGAAAGAGCAAAAGCAGTTCAGACAAAGAAACTAATAGTGTTCCTTGTACAGTAGATTGGCCACCCCAGAGCAGAAAATGCAACCAACTTCTGAGACTGAACTTTAAAGGTGTGGAAAAATATCCCTTCAGATTTCTTTGAAAGTCTCCTGAAGAGAATGGAAGCTGTAATAAAGGCAAAGTGTGGACACACCACTGAAGATGTAGATATAACGTTAAGTTGTTGAGGTTTTTGTATCATTTTCTGTTAAATGCATATTTTCTGCTTTTTTCCTGGTCCTAAAAATGAATAACTTGCAATAAGTGGCTGATTTGACTTTAAAATAAATGAATGAAGAGTAACGTCTGCACTGTGTGTGTGTGTGTGTGTGTGTGTGTGTGTGTTCCAACAGTAGGTGTTATCATACTGGCTTGTTAGCTGCAGGTAGATTCTCCCACTTTACTATCACACTAGTGAGCAGAGGAAGACTGCATAAGCAGCGCTGCTGATGAATTATTGAACACCGGCGAGTGAACGTGACGGGGGGCTTACACGCGCCGCATACAGAGAAGCTCTGCGTGTGTGCGAGAGTGAGTGTGTTCCAGACAGCAAGACAGTGATAAAGAAGGAGAAATGAAATGTGGCAAAATTCTCACCTCTCTGTCTGACCGCTCTGAGGCTAACAGAAACACTGCATTGTTCATTCTGGAAGGTTTCAAAGTAATGCAAACTAATCCACTTAGACCCCATTTTAAACGTGGCGCAGGGGTGGTATTAATTCTCTGTCAAAGCCGCCTCATGTAATCCTCCAAAAATACTGGAAATGGTAAGAATGTTTCAAGGGCAGAATAAGAGGAGAGCCAAATCGCAGTGCTTTCATTTTTTATGGCTGAAGTCCATTGATTTAGAAGTTAAATGTATTAGGATTTGGCCTAAATCCACCAACCCTGACGATCACAGTTCTGGCACCAGCATCAGGGTTTGTGTGTCTGTGTGTCTATTTGACACAGACCTGTGCTTTTAGTACATAGAGTTAACTTGTTGCTACATTAGCTACCTGCCCCTCAGGACCGGAAGCCTACAAAACATGAGAAAAATGTGAAAAATGCACACCCCACCCCCTGGTGAGCTGCCCACTTGTGTTTAGATTAGCAGGAAATCTTCTCGCCTGTTGGGACGGGGGGCCAAACGCCGAAGCGCTTATGGGCAATCAGTGTATACTGCTGAAAAGCAAGCGGAGGGCTACAGTTGATCTTTGTTGCTACTTTGTTGACCCGTCGCACTGTTTTGACCGTAAATACGAGAGCTCACCTCCATCTGTCGGGTCTGTGTTGTCACTGTAAGCCTGCGTTTAATGAATCAGAGGTCACTGAGAGTCCGGGGACACCTAAGCTTGGGTTCGGCTCGTGATTGTTCCTCGCTGGAATTTCCAGGAAAACTGTTGTTGTTGAGACTTACAGCGATAGTTAGGCTTAAAATCAAGTTTACACAATTTTCTCTTTGCCCCAGATCACTGACCCCCCAGACGTGTTTGGCTCAGACCATTAGGACAGTGTGGTTTGTGGCGCTCTCTGATCTACTTCTGTCTAAAAACTACTGACAAAAAAATCGAGAGGGCTGCTGCTGCTGTATTTAGACTTGCATATTACTTTTGTCAGTGTAAACGTAGAAGTAAGTCATACTGTCAGAAACTACATAAGCAAGTCTGTTTGAGACTTAACACTTTTTTTAGACAAGCGGTGATGAATTAGACATGCCTTTGGAATAACTCCAGCTGGTGGCGTTTAGGCTTCTATTATTTGTTAACTACATTAGCGCTGTAGCTCCCGTACAAAACTACAGTAGCCAACTTTAGGCACCAGACGAGTCTTGGTGGATCGACTATCTCGTTGCTGGCACCCAAAAATGCAAACATTTCCATTTTTGTTTAATTATTTAGTTTACTTATTTTGCACTATTTGGAACCTCAAGTTAACCTTTGCATTTGTGTTAAAATTTAATGATGACCGCATCAGTAGAAATGGTCCAAAATGATTTGTTACATTAACTTTCATTATAAGTTAAAAATGTTTTTTTTCTCCTGTAAAGTCATTATTTTGAAGGTACTGGGTTCTGTTCTGACAGTGTCTGTATTTTGGATGAAAAGGAAATTATGTTAACTTTTAATAAAAGAAAAATCTATCGCTTTAAGTAATGCATTGTATGAGTTATGTAAGAAATGGATAAATTTACCCTGACAGACTAGAACAGATTTTCCTTGTTCTTTACGATTTTCCACATTTTAGAATAACATCAGAACTGTGAAAGTTATACAGAGTTATGTAGTGAGTCATATTTTAGATTCTTGAAACCTTGATAGTTTTGCACACTTTCATTTCATCATTCTTTCATGCATCTTCATGAGGAACTGCGTGAGATGCTTTTCCATCAAATGATTTCATTGAATTTCAAGATTTTCTGTTGGAAATGCATACATAGGTGTTAACTTTCATACTTCTACATTTGCTTTAAATAGATTTCAAGCTTTTAAGAACAAAGTGTCTTTGATATGATGTAAAATATTCAATCAGGTCATCCAAAGGTTTGACTGTGACTGTATGTTCTCAGCTGTCTTTCTGACACATCCACTGTAATGGTTGTCTCTTCTCTTGTTCCCTAGTCGTACTTCGTCACTGACTATGACCCCACGATCGAAGACTCGTACACAAAGCAGTGTGTGATCGACGAGAGGCCTGCGCGGCTGGACAGTGAGTTGGGGGGGTGTGGCATCTGATAAACATCTGTGGATGTCTGAGATATCTATGACCAGTGTGCCTATTACCAATATCAATATTCAAAAAAATTTACTTATTTTGTATTTTAATACAAGTTAATGCTGTAAGCCACATATAAAATACAGTGAGCATGAAGATGGAGTGTTGATTCATTTTATACAGCTAAATCAGACGACAGTTATTATAAACATTGATGAATTTCCTCCCAATCAGAGCAACTTATAATGATAGAAGAATGTAAATTTGCATTTTTGCCCAATTATTTATTTTGCCATTCATGCCTGGACTGGGGAATCCAGCCTCTGGTCCCCCTGTGTGGGGCTGTGGTATTATGCGCTGTTTTCTCCATTTCAGTAAGTGATTCATTCGTGAAAGAAGAAGAATGGAAACACCCTTTCACTAGTGACTACATGCATCACCAGTGACTGTATGCATCAGTGTGCGTAAACAAAATTAGGCGACAAAATTTAACTATAAGGCCGATCAGGTTTCCTCATTTTTATATGAATAACATATTGAGCAGTGATATATTGTTCATCACTGTCTTTAAATTAGGCTTTATCTGTGAACCGTATGTAATAGGCTTAAAATTTTTCAGAAGAAAATTATTTTAAAAAATTTTAGTGATGTCTTCATAATAAATTTTTTGCCAATATCAAGATTGGCATAAACAATAAAAAAGTACGATGAAATAATACAATGAAAGTACGAAACGTGCTGCGCTGCACTAAATTTAATAATTAGGTAATTGTGCTCTCTTTGTAATGATTAGTGAAATCATCACTAGTACATTACATTGGCTAGTGGTCTTCAAGTACTGATGATATTCACAGTATCCTCAGAAAAGCATAATTTTTGGCGATAATGATAAAATATTGTCTCATTGGCCGTCCCTGACCTGATCACAGGTTACATTTATACATACACTGACCAGGCATAACATTCTGACCACCTCCTTGTTTCTGCGCTCATTGTCCATTTTATCAGCTCCACTTACTATATAGGTGCACTTTGTAGTTCTGCAGTTACAGACTGTAGTCCATCTGTTTCTCTGATACTTTATTAGCCCCCTTTTACCCTGTTCTTCAGTGGTCAGGACCCCCATGGACCCTCACAGAGCAGGTACTATTTGGGTGGTGAATCATTCTCAGCACTGCAGTAACACTGACGTGGTGGTGGTGTGTTAGTGTGTGTTGTGCTGGTATGAGTGGATCAGACACAGCAGTGCTGCTGGAGTTTTTAAACACCTCAGTGTCCACTCACTGTCCACTCTATTAGACACTCCCAACTTGTCAGTCCACCTTGTAGATGTAAAGTCATCCTCTAGTCTTTCATCAGTGGTCACAGGACGCTGCTGGCTGGATATTTTAGGTTGGTGGACTACTCTCAGTCCAGCAGGAGGTGGTCGTAATGTTATGCCTGATCGGTGTATGACTGTACAGTTCTGTGCAAAATTCTCAAGTGCTATTTGGATGGGGTTAGTTTTACATGGGAAGGTAATGATAAAGTTGTTACTTCTGTTTTTTTCAGTGATTTTAGACCTGTCTGAGTGTGCCGTATCAGTCATTTTTACACACCACGTGCTTACAAATTGTGAAACAATTCACTTTTACCATCTATAAAACGAGCCGTAGAAGCAACTCCAGGTCATATTAATCTTGTGCGAATCGATGCGACAGTAAAAATGCTGTGATGTATTGTAATGTGGAATGAAGGCTTTCAAAGAAACATTTATTTTTCAAAATTAAGCTCAGATGTGCTGAACTGCGTCCAGTGTACGACTCCAAACTTTAAAACATAGAAGTCTGTAACCAATATTAGGATGTAACGGAGTACAAGTATCAGGAATACATATTCAGAATACAGGGATTATGTATCTGTATTCAGCCCAACGTACATTTTGTAAAGGCAGCATTCAGAATACATTTTTAGAATACTTTCAGAATATTTACCCATCAAAATTAAAAAAAAAAAAAAAAAAATTATATATATATATATATATATATATATATATATACTACCTTTAAAAGAAACACCATTAATGCTCATTTATTAAAATTATTATTATAATTATTATAACTATTTTAAAATCAGTCACAGTGTGTAGCGAACATGCCCATTAGACGAACTCTAAAGAGGACCCCAATAAACGGCTTCTTTACCAACATAGTACAATAGACAGCCATGAAAAATGACTCTGATTATCTGAAATGTAAGTTTGTTTTTGCCCATAAAACAATATTTAACATTGGAATAAATACAAATAAACATAATATATAATGTGACATTTTTTGTTTTGATATTTTTTGCTTTGCTATTTGATGGTTAGAAGATCACAGGTTTGATTCCTGACTTTTCGGTGCACTTCAGCTTTCGCATGAACTTGTTAAATAACATTAGCAGCACATTAATATTAATTCACTGAAGGATTGATTAGATAAAATATTGGATGGTGACTACTGGGCTTCCTCGAGAAGAGCTGTGGAGATGTATTCTTTATAATGTTTTTTAAGTTTATTGTAATGTGGGTGTTTTTTTATTTTGTAATAAAGAGGAAGGGTTTACATATCATTTACTCAGATGCCCAAGACATTTTTACAGCACTGTGTATTTATAAAAACAATTAGCGTGTTTAACATGCATATTTATCCATATGTGTTCAGGTAAAGCAGAGCTGCTGTTTGCTGCAGAGCTTACAGCAAAAGCAGAAGTTGAAACCCTGCTGTGTGTAACATGGCTGTCCTGTGTGTGTATTTGTGTGTCAGTTCTGGACACGGCTGGGCAGGAAGAGTTTGGGGCCATGAGAGAACAATACATGAGAACAGGGGAGGGCTTCCTACTCGTCTTCTCTGTCACCGACCGGGGAAGGTGAGCAACACCTCCTTTCTCTCTCTCTCTCTCTCTCTCTCTCTCTCTCTCTCTCTCTCTCTCTCTCTCTCTCTTTAACTCACATTTACTTTTTTTTTCTTGTTCTCACTTTCGTTCTTTCTCATTCCCCTCCCATTCCCCCACCCCCTCTCCTCTCCTCTTATCGCTGGGGTTCTTTTGACTTTCAGTTTGACTTGTTTACCCGTTAGGCAGTTGTCTCGCACACAAGCAGTATTATTAGCCGGCCTGCAGGCTCTGCGTCTGCTTACCTCTCACACTCTCCACACAGCGTTTCAAATCAGGCGCTTCTGGATGCTTCACTGTGTGTGTGTGTGTGAGATTTTGAGCACTGGTGTTTGTGTTTTATGTGTGCCCATGCCCCCCTCGGGGTCCTTTCCTCCCCATGTTTATGCTGTAAACAGTCCTTCCTTCCTTCGTTTACATTACCTCCTCTCTCGCCCGCTCTCGACACGCTGCCTGAGACTCGCTGGCAGTCACTGCGGAGTTCATGGCGGCTCGTCCTACCAAAGAGTGACATTTTAAACCCCGCCGCTCCCCTCGAACTGTTTGCACTACAGTCAGCAGGGACCTGAGAAAAGTGCCTTTGAATACACACACACACACACACACACACACACACACACACATACACACTCCCACACCAGTCCCTGTAATGTCAGTGTCATAACAAAACCTTGCATCTCTGAAATGGTAACTTTTCAGAAAAAGGAAAAACATTCAGCTTTAAGTGTACGTTGAAGGGGAATTCCATCCAATTTGCAAAATGTCTGCATTAAATCAGTTATTACAGTGTTTGTTTTTTTCCTTTTAAAAAGTGGTTTGATGTGAAATGCTCCATTCTAGAGAAGCACACCGATCAGGTCTGTTTACAGCGAGGTTGAAAAGAACTACACACTCAAAGCATTTAACCCTTTTAGGTTGACACAAAAAAGCGACTACTGTTAATTTAATCTGCTCTTTTTCCTTTAATAATGACATTTCTGACTGCTGGTGTTGCGTTTATTTGATATGTAAATATTTATAAGGTCTAACGTTCTGAGACTTTTGTCACGAACTCCCATTCAGAACAAGAAAACACATGAATCATAAAACGTCACTCGTCAGTCGAACTTTATTACTGCCCTGATTGAATCAGTAAGCGCTTCAGTTCTGTTCTGAATGAGCTCACGCATTCGCTCAGACACGAACACGGTGCATTCAGAAAGAACAGAAGCCACACGCATGTTTTAGAGAGTGAGAGAAAACATGGCAGCGTGCAGAAATCTTCAGTTCTACGTGAGAGCAGCTTCATGTGGTTAATGTTTGTAAAAAGCACATCACAAAAGTCATTCAAGAAGGTTACAAATATGTTGCCTACTTTGTTTTATGATGGTTTTGGCCCAAAATCTTATTTTCTCAATATTAACTCTCATCCTCTACTTTCTCCTCTGTTTGGTTCTTTAGCCTGTAGCTACAGCCAGTAAACACAGCTTACGCAGTAGTACTTACACAGATGAAAATCTCTGGTTTAGGTGAAGAAAATGTCCTGAAATTGAATATCTGTGTTACCTTGACTGGTAATACATAATGCCACTTATTATTAACTCGAGAGGTGAGAAAATGACTGCAGCGTGCACCACAAACATTAACAGCCCTGCAGTCTTAAAATATATTTTTCTCTTATCAGCCTAAAATCGGAAGAGGTGATGGAAACTTAAAGAACATCACGGCCAGATCAACAAAGTGAGTTTGGTTTGTTTTCCAGCGGCTTATAGAAAGAAAAAAGAAGCACTGGACTGTGGTTTTGTGGCAGGTATGGTACACGATTCACCACGTTTATCAAAAGTAGCCAGCAAGATAATATAATATGACTTTCCAAATCTGCTCTGATGAATTCTAGCAGCCTCGACTTGTGAGAATTTGTTGACATGCTGGAAACCACTGTCTATCCATGCTGAGGGAAATACATGCTGGGTGTTTTGAGGCAAAGTACCACCCACACAGATTTACCACACTTTTACCATCATCAGCTTTGCATTTAAACACTCAGAAGACCCCTGTTTGTACGTTTACTGGTCGTTTTGGATTGTAAATAAAATGGCTACAGTTGTGCTGTAGACATTGTAACCCCTGGTTCCCATCAGCACCACTGTAAAGAGCATCCAGGTTGTTAAGTTTCTCAGCAATGCACCATTTCACATCAAACCACTCTGACTGACTTCGTTTACATCTCAGTGATTGAATTATGCAGAAATGTTGGTTTCCCTTTGGAATTCCACCAAATAATGGAAGTGGACCATGTCTGTCGGTCCATTTGTCATACCATTTTCACAGTGTAATGGGCAGCTGCCGTTCTTAAATGATGTGTAAAAAATGTCAGACAGCAGTTTTGTATTCGTTAAGTAGTGTTCTTATGCTCTTATATCTTTCAGGAAGATTATAAGTTTTTTTTATTTATTATAATTATTATTATTAATACGTTTATTTTGGTTTATCAAGGTGTTTACACCCATGAAAATAGAAGAGAAAAAAAATAATAATAATAGGTAACACAAAAATAAAAGGGAAAATTATAGGTACAAAATTAATGGACATAACTGATACAAAAACAAGTACTGACCGAAAAGGTGTAGTCTGAAGCTGTAGCTATGAAAAGAGTGAATTTTGTAAACCCCAGTGTTCCTATCTAAGTGTTTGCAGGCACTTGAGAAAAGCTCCATCAGATTCACACGTGTGCATGTGCGTCCGTGCGTCACACATGCGGGTCCCCATACACTGATTAACTTACATTAGGTACAACTTGAACCTTGCTGCATAGCATTGATTTAACCATGCCATAAACATGTCATGGTAGACGTCATATACTGTCATAAGTTGTCCAACAGTGTAATAGTGTTACTGTATACACACACACACACAAACACACACACACACACACACACACACGTTAAATATGATAGTTTGATGTAGCAGAGTTTGGTTACTCTGCATTCTTCCTTTTTTGGGTAGGGGTTCCCCAATTTAGTCCCCAGTTTAGTCATTTCCAATTCCACCCAGTAGTTAGGACTCCCCCAGTCACACGATACCACAGGCGCTAGGAGGGCGAAGGCTAACACAGGCTTCCTCCGAGACCTGTGAAGCACCACCGCATCTTTTCGAACTGCCGCTCATGCAACGTCACTGGACAGCCGAACACATTTAGAGGAAAACACCAACTGCCAGATCTGTTACGTCAGCTTACAGACACCTGCGCTGACTAGCAGTGTGTTTGGGTGATGGGGGGAGAGGGAGGAAGAAGGGGGTACATCCTACCCACCCAGAGAGCGGGGCCAATTGGGCTCTCTTGGACTCTCGGCCACGGACGGCTGTAGCATGACCAGGGATCAAACTCGCGACCTCCCAACGTTATGGGGCAGCTTCTCACACCCAGATTAATCCTAATTTTAGGCCCTGCAGTTTAGTCCAAGACTAGGAGTAATCCTGTCCGGAAAAGCCCTGATAACACCACGTGACCATATTAACCTTCTCTGCTTCTTCCTAACTGTTAGCAGGGATTTGAGTCAAACACACATGCATGCGTTCTTCCTCGTATGTTAGTTAACTAGCATTCGGATTTGTTTCAGGAAAGTTGTAACATTATGAGAACCAAGTGACCCCTTTGCTATCTTGGGTGCTGGATAGTACTTGTGGGCTGAGAGAGAGAGAAAGAGAGTTAGGGCAAAGGAGATGGACTGCAGCTGGAGGAGTGGGCTTTATTCATGTGGTCACATGGCTGCATTCCTCTGGGGTTCGGAGGAGATGGGGAACTCCCAAACACAGCCGGAAACACATCTGCCTGCCCCCTTTGAATGTGTATGTGTGTATGTGTACATGTCTTATTGCATGTGTGTATGTGCTTTGTATTGTATGTGCTTTAGACAGGTTTACAGTCAGTCTGAAGAGTTTGATGTCTCTTTTAGCTTCGAGGAGATCTACAAATTCCAAAGACAGATTCTGAGGGTGAAGGACCGAGATGAATTTCCCATGATCCTCGTGGGGAACAAGGCTGATCTAGAGCTCCAGAGACAGGTAAGCCAGACGAACCTCAGTTCTGTCCCAAATTGCTTGCCTGAATAATGATCATACTTACCTTGACTGCATCTCAAATAAAGTAAAACGTGATCTAAGCTCAGTAGGTAGACTTGTGTTCACACAAATCCAATTCCATAAAAGTTGGTACAGTAGATAAAGTGCAAATAAAACAGAAAGCACAGATTTGTAATCTTTTACAGGTATTAATTCAAAATGTATTTAAAAAATATTTCACCTCATCAAATTTATTATTATTATTTTTTTAAATTTGCACTATTTCTGAATTTGATGCCAACACATTCCAACACATTCCTCAAGTTGGGACTGGGGCTGGGCAGTATAACAATATTTATAGTTATGGTAATAAATTATCTCACAATATGTCACAGTATACTTTTGTGGGCATATCATACAAAACTGCATGTTTGATTACAACGAGAGCAAAATTAGTCCTGTTTAATTATATTCAGTGTAGCGCAATATGTGCAATGTTGAACATAAACCTTTTATTTTTAGTTTTTAATTATTTTGTTCATATGTAGCACTACTTTGTCCATTTCAGTTTATCAGATGTAAGAAAATATATATCGTAACAAATTGTATATTGTGTAATATTACATTTTTGCCATGTTGTCCTAGCTGAGACAAGGGCAACGTATGACTAGGAAGCTTGTGGCATGTTCAAAAACAGTTGAATGAAAAGGGAGCACTCACAAAAGGCTCAGTCGAGCAAGGATGGGTTGAGGTTCGCCACTTTATGAAAAACTGCGTGAGCAATAGCCCCACAGTTTAAGAACAACATTCCTCAATGCGCAGTTTCACTATATACAGTCAATAACGTTATTTAAAAAAATTCAGAGAGTCTGAAAAAATTTGTTTGTTGGCCGAAAAGCAGTACACAATGCCCGTTATCTTCAAACCCTCAGACGGCACTAGTTTAAAAACTGACGTGCTTCTGTAATTAGTATAACCACTTGGACTCAGGAATACTTTGGAAAACCTCGTCAGTAAACAGAGTTCATCACTGCATCTACAAATGTGTGTTAAGACCCTACTATGCATTGCAGAACCCATATATTGACAACATACAGTGCACACACAGCTACCAACCTCTGTGGGCTAGAGTTCACCTGAGGTGGACTGACGCAAAATGGAAACAAGTGCTGTGGTCTGACGAGTCCACCGTTCATAGTTACAGAAAATACTGGTCTTATGAAACAATGGGATAATCATGTTCTCTGGGCCAAAGAGAGAGAAGACCATCCCAACTGTCAGCAGTGCAAAGTTCAAAAGCCAGTGTTTCTGGTGAGACGGCGTGTTAGTAGGCATGGGTAACTTGCACATGTGTGAAGGCGCCATTAATGTTGAGGGGTACATTCAAGTCAAGTCAAAGTTTATTTATGTAGCGCTTTTTACAACAGGTGTTGTCACAAAGCAGCTTTACAGAATAACCTGGGTCCGAGCCCCCATGAGCGTCGCCAGTGGCGACAGTGGCAAGGAAAACTCCCTAAGAGCAAGAGGAAGAAACACTGAGAGGAACCAAGACTCAGAAGGGGAACCCGTCCTCCCCTGGTCGACACCAGATAGCCAACAGCGTTAGCATAAAGTATTATAATACAAAATGGGGAAAACAGGTGGAGCAATGGTTAATTAAATAGTCTGAGTTGATGCAGCAGCATTATGGAGCAAGATATGCTGCCTTCCAGACAACGTCTTCTTCAGGACTGTCCATGGCTGTTTCAGCAAGACACTGCCAAGCCACATTCTGCATGTGTTACAACAGCATGGCTTCGTAGTAAGGGAGTGCAGGTGCTAGACTGGTCCGTCTGCAGTACAGACCCGTCTCCTATTGAAAATGTGAGGTGCATTATGAAACGCAATACTGAATGTTGTTGAAAGGAAAAGTGATGTAACAAATGGTACATCACACATGTACCATATGTGGTAAACATATCCCTGTCCCAACGCTTTTGAAACATGTTGCAAACATTAAATTTAGAATAAGCATATATATATATATATATATATCAGAAAAACAATAAAGTTAATTAGTTGAAACATTAAATATATTGTCATTGTACTGTTTTCAGTTGAATACAGGTCTAGAAAGATTTGCACACCACTGCTGTCGGTCTTACCTACGATCACAACTTTTTTAGAATTGAGTTTGCAGTTAATGACACTTTGGCATTTATATATAATGATGGACAAAATGGTTGCATAGCTAAAACCGGCACCTTACAGTCTAAGATGACCATCGTTTTGTCCATTTATATAGATTACGGTAGGTCATTTAAAGTTATGCGATGACATAGACACGCGGTTTCCATGATGCTATTTGAGGAAATAAAAATTCCATTACTACTGATTTAGCTTCAGTGTAAATCAACTACATTTGGCGTGTGAGGAAAATTGTATGCTTTTTTTTTGGATGTAATTAATATGTTCCTCAGCCATCAAACAAGCGTAGCTCTTTTGCCTCAAAATATGGTCATAAAACATTCCGTTCACTCCATTTCAGTCCAAAATATTTTTCAATAATGAAAATACACCGAAGGCCAAATGTTTAGTCTCACCAGCTGTCAATCAAGCATTGATTTTCCAGCCATAACATAGTTGTTTTTTTTTGACCTCTTAACCCCAGTTAAGCTCACCCACCCACTTTCAAAATGCAGAGTCAGTTTCAGAGCAGGTTTCAAGATGGAGAGTTTTTAGACAAAAGGTTATTTAAATGAAGCCTTTCAGGTTTCAGACATTTCCAGCGTCAGTATGTGTCTTGGTTGGGCGATGCAGAATGAAATTGGGTGTCTTGAACATTTTAGATGTGTGTTTTGAACTGAAAGTGACTGAATGGCATGTTTACAGCAAATCTGTGGTCAGTGTAAAACTGTTCTGGGGGAGGGGGGGGGGTGACCACAGAGACACACCTTAGTCAATAAGCAACTCTGAAGATATGAGAAGAATTTTCTGTCTGTCTCCCCTTTATGCGCCTGACATTCTCAAATTAAAGGGGAATTCCACCGATTTTTCTGTCTGAGTAATTCAACCATCGAGATATAAACAAAGTCATTCAGAGTGTTTACTGTGAAATGGTGCATTGTAGAGAAACCTAACGACTCACTTCTTTAGTGGTGGTGGTAGTGATATGAACCAAGGGTTGCAGTGTCTACAACACAAATATAACCATTTAATTTACTGTCCAAACCAACAGTGAACCTGCACTGCTCAAAAGTAATCTTGGGACACTATAAATACAATTTGTGTCTTGTTCATCACTTTTGAAGCTGAATTTGTTATTTATACTTATTTGTATCTGTCAGAAAAGTTATAATGACCAGATTTACTGACTGAAACTCAAAATGAGCCCAGAAATGAGTTGAAGACTCAAGTAAGGCAGGTGATAGTGGATAAAGATTAGTGTCTCTTTCCTTTATAAAGGTCAGTATTTAGCATTTTATTTAGGTGAGTATTTTGTTGCATATTCCTTATTTCTGCTTGGGTTTGCACAACTGATGGTCAGGGAGGCTTCTTGATTGGCCAGAACGGAGCAGCGCTTTCCCAGGTTCCAGTACATTTTAAGCTTGATTTTAGAATTTATAATGTATCTGTACTGTTTCTCACAGACAGTTTGTAAGGAAAAGACAATGTTTTTAAAGATTCAGATATTCGAGAATTCAACTCAATATTTAAGTTTTCCAAAGCAAAATCTTTCAGAACGTTAAATGTGAAATTAAGTCAGGTTTTGATGGTGGCATTTCAGGAGTAGCTTTGGAGACCTCTGGTTTGAATGTGTTTGGAATAGTGTTCCAACATTTGTGTTAAAGTAGAATTCGGTTTGACAGGTGGACCCAGAGTATTACAGTATTAAGTGATATTGATTGATAAGTATAGTACAGCTGAAAATAATATAGCTGGAATTATGGACTCTTGGATACAGTGAAGCACAATTTCCACAATACATTAACCAAGGAAATAATTCTTAAAAAAATTAATGATGGTGGGGGTGTCCATCTTGGTGGGGGTGTCCATCTTGGTGGGGGTGTACATCTTCTGTTCTTTTGTACACAGTGTTGATGATGGTAAAATTGAGGCGAATCTGAACACGCTGCATGAATGTAATTTAAAAAATACATTTTAAGCCAAAACTTTCTCAAAACTGTCGTGGAACAATGTCTCAGGCATCACACAAAATATTACTAACCAGGGGGCTTTTAGAGGCATTAAATGCTTCAGGCGTCCGGTTCCCATCACTGCCACTGTGAGCAGTTCTGTGATTTTCTCCAGAGTGGAAAATTTTACATCAAACATCAAAAACTCTGAGTGACTTGATTTTCATCTTAACAATTTAATTAATTGAATCTTTAACATCTGCAAAACAAGAGGCTTTAGGAAGAGGCAAAAAAATAAAAATGGGAATGTTCGATGTGTTCAGAATGACAAACGGAGCTAGAAGGTTCTAAATGACTTCGAAAGCTGTGTTGCATTATCGCTGCAGTCAGAACAAAACTTCATTTTCGTCATTTTACAGTTTTTGCACAGTTTGAAAAGGCCTGTTGTCTTTTACATAGTGTGTGAATTTTCTGATGAATGAACCAAATGAAACGGCCTAAAATGACTTGGAAAAAAGTCTGGTTCCGTTGACTTACATTGAAAGTAAACTATGATTTTTCCTTCAGCTATGAAGTTTTCATTTCAGAGAAACCAGGTTTTGTTCCGACAGCAGCGTTATAATAAAGTTAATATCCAGAATCCTTCATATTTCAAAAGTGGAGATTAAATTTAAAGGCAGATAACCTGACATAACAAGTGAATATAAATAGATAGTTTTTTTTCAACTAATCACATATTTGCTGTGCGTATATATTATAGTATATTATAAAATGGACTATATTTTAAATACATAAATATGTATTCTGTACTATGTATATGTCTGCTCTTTGATTTTTTATGTACAGTGTATATATTTTTATGTATGCAGGGTTATATCAGCCAGAAACAGAGGAAATGAGAGAGAGATTTGAGGGTCACTGAGTGCAATCTGCAGTGCTCACGCATTCAGTTGATGTTATACTGCCACCTGGAGGACTGAAATAGAGGAACGGGAGTTAATTGCATTGATTGCGCCCATCTCTCCCTCGATTGTCTTTATTGAGTGCTCTGAAAGAGACCCCTGTTTAAATTGATCTCTGCCAGTGAGCCTCTAAATGATTCTTTTTTTAGACCTTAAGAGTTTTCAGCCTTGGATCTGGAGCTATAAACCCTGGACAGCTAAAATGAGGGTGTTTCTCTTCTAAACTGCAAGCGAGCTCAGTCTCAGTAAACGCTCTGTTATACAGAGGGCTCTGGATCATGTATCTTCTTGTATGTTCTTGTGGTAGATTGTGTGAAGCTCTGAGCTGTACTGAATCAGGATGGTGGCTCACTATTGTTAGCTACTCTCAGCGGATAGCTCCATACGGCCACGACTGTGGGGCTCTCTCCAGCAGTTGCAGTGAATTATGGGACTATACAGTTTAAAAAAGGGGTCGCTCTTACAGTTCATCATTTCATTACTTGATATATTCTCCAGAAAGCTTGAAGAGTAGGACTGTGTGTTATTGATACATATATATATATATAATATATATATATATATCCATCCATCCATCGTCTAAACCGCTTATCCTTCTGGGTCGCGGTGGGGTGCTGGAGCCTATCCCAGCTGTCATTGGGCGGAAGGCAGGATACACCCTGGACAGGTCGCCAGTCCATAGCAGGGCAGACAGACAGACATACACAGTCACATTGCTGTATTTTAAATTTGCTTTGCTTTGAGTTCAGGTTGACATATTTGACATCAAACCAAGACAAACAGAAGTTGTGCAGATAATAAGTAACACCTGATTGGGCAGATTTAACGACGTATATTTAGTGATTTTTCAGAGCTGTACTACAGCCTAACTGAGCTCATGGATTTTATGTATATCTTGTTTTTATCTTTGCCTTGTTGTGTTCTGAAGTAATAAGCTGCAAAAGGTAGTGCAGTACTGGTTTTTCATGGTTTGGGTAGCAAAGTCACGGAAACACACCCTGGAGTGGCTTTTGCAGTGACAGCTTGGCACCTTGATACATAATATAGTTGAGATATGACTTGAAAAAAGGAAGAATATCTGTTTAGTTTTAAAACACATTCATAATACAGTTCATCTTTTTATTATTTGATCTTCTCTTGAGAAAGAGATGACGTGGCCACAATACTAATATGATTATATTGCTACATATTGTGATTGCTTCACATTTTGAAATCGCTCCTGTGTTTGGTGCTTATATATGTGTTTAGTCTTGTTATAGTTTCTTTCTGTGTGAAAGTAGCCCGAGACTGACCTCCTTGGGGGTCTCAGGCTGCTTATTTGGTTATTATTTTAACATGCATTTTTGAGTTTGAATGGCAGCGTTTAACCTTACTCTAGTGAACCACGCTAACAGAGAAATCTTACCAGGGTTTGTTTTACTTTAAACAAGGCATGGCAAATGTGAACATATGTCCTTAATCAGCTGATTCGTTGGATCAGGTGTGTTGGGAGCTGAGGGGTCTCTGAAACATGCAGGGTGGGGGAAAGTCCAGGATCAGAGTTGGGAAACTCAGTTTCTTCATGCAGAATCAGAAATGTTTTTTTTAACCAGGCAGTTTCTCGTCCACAGTTAAGTACATGATGCTTAGGCTGATAAGATAATCAGAAAGTGAGAATCTGATCGTGAAAGAACTCTTGATGTTGATTGGTCAAAGTTTATGGGGAAGACCGTATGACTACATTTCCTGTATCCTGTCCTTATTATGTCCTTGTGTTGTGTTGTGTTGTGTTGTATTATTCATTTATACTACAAGAGAAATGTGTCATTTTGCTACCCAGCTGTGTCCAGACTGGGAGCAGCCTAGCCTCACCAGCAGAGCAATGACCCTTGTGGCAGTAGGGAGGTTAAGTGCCTGGGATTTGAGCCTGTGACCTTCGAGTTGCTGGCTCACCTCTCCTCTTTGGAGTGTCCCATAGTCTGGTTGTACGTCTCCAAAATTGTGTAAAAAATGAAATTATATGGTAAACGTCATGGGTTGATGCCTATAAAGATTATTAATGATATGATGAATAGACAATATATTGTGCAGCTTTAATGTCTGTCCTCGTTACCCAAATCAATACTAACACATGGATCAGATGTAGTGTTAGTGTCTCAGCATCACTAGCACTAACTGTGAATGCGTGCTTGTGCCTCTGTCTCTCTCAGGTGACTCAAGAGGAGGGTCAGCAGCTGGCTCGGCAGCTCAAAGTCACGTACATGGAGGCTTCAGCCAAGATCCGCATGAATGTAGACCAAGCTTTCCACGAACTGGTTCGAGTCATTAGGTGGGTTTGATCCTTCCAAGCAGTCACTTCAAGCTATTCTCTAATGTTGACACAAGGTGGCAGCAAAGCCAGAGTCATTGGTTTGCAGCGATATCCTGACCTACTTCACAGCCAACTCAGTTTCACGCTTCATCTTCCTTAACCCCACTCGCAGGCCGGAGGGGCTTCTAGGCGTGTTATTAGTGAGGTGATATCGAGAACCTGTGCTGTAGGGGAGAGTGATACGGGTCTGTCGTCAGTGGTTAAAACTTCGAGGGAAGTGTCTTTTAATTAGGACAAAATGTGTCAGTCAGTTTAGCCTTCCAAAACAGTGCCTGTGGGGAAATGCATAGAAACAAGTTCCTATTGAGGCCCAGGTAATGTGACCATTGTCAGTGGTGATTTTAGGAAGTTACAATTTAGACAACCTGTAATCTTGGCCGAGATATTTTTCATGTGATCAGAAATGAGACTCTTAATAGTTTGCTTTACTGATATGAACGCTACTCACCAGATGTTATTTTTTTCATTCTCAATCGGCCATTTTTAAAACTTAAACAGCAGAAACTCAGAAAATATTAAATAGTATAAATATAATAATATAAATACAGGGTTAAACAGATATAATTGCACTGGCCAGTAAACCAATTAATCTTCTGGCCAAAAATAAAAAAATTGTGGGCAGAATAACAGAAACAATGAGCTTCAGTACCACAAAACTGTCAGGTGTTGGTTTGAAAAAGGAAATGTTTATTAAAAGCGGCGTTAAGAACATCGTCATTGTGGTGACAGTGGTGGTCCCGCCTGCCGATCTGATTTGATCTAGGTCGTATCGTTAGGCACTATTTAGCTACTGCATTGAAAGCCTCTGGTAACGCCTGCTTATTTAAGGCCTTATGTGTTCAGCAAACAGGCAATAGAACAGCATCTATGATGCCAGGCGGGCCAGTTCAGCATGGGGGGAGCACCATGTTCACCGCACCACCACTTTAACTATTGTGGTTGTTACAGTTGCAAAATCTGATTTGTCTGATTAGATCAGTGTCCAACCAAACAATTTTGCAAAAAAAGTATGTGGTCACTTGGGCCACTGGCTCTTCATGTTTAGTGGCCAGAATTTGAAATGTTGTGGCCAGGGACGCCAGGCAGTGTCCACTTCTGCTTGTAAATATTCATATAAGTTAACAACCAATGATCTCTCACAAGGCTGAGTTTCTGTAGCACCTGATAGTATTTTTGGTTGTTATTTAAAACAGCATCACATTTCTGATTGTATTAAATGAAGGACATTTAAAAGGGACATTAGGAGGATTTCTGCTAATGACAGTAGAGTGGTGGAAACTTAATATTGGCCAAATCATATAGCAGCTGGGCCATATTTCATACCTTATGGCATATACAGTGTGAGTCAGTACACTCTCAGCAAAAAGGGTTCTATATAGTACTAAAAAGGGTATTACATAGAACCATTTTAAAAGAGTTCTTTAAAGAACCAAATTGAATGATTTGAACATGTGCATTCAAGTAGTTCTTTGACTGTTTATGGTTCTATATCGAACCATTGAAAAGCCATTTTTTTGAAATGCAGTTTTCAATACACATATTTTATGCATATTTTGGCATAGCAGATAAAAATACTTCATGGAAATTACAACTATTGAATAAAATCTATATTTAATATTTTTATAGAAGTTTGTAACACTAGCTTGAGGTGGATACTTTTTTTTTGTTGGATAAATTATAATAGAGGTGCTTTTACTAAATAAATAAGAATTCAACAGTCGTTTGACCGTTTAGGTGCTTCTGTTTTTTCCTTTTTGCAGCTATGAAACATGACAGAAGGCAGCGGGAACCAGTGAACTGATGAATAAATTAAAACTAACTTTATCTTTTCAAAGAAAAAAAACTGATAACGGTGATATTAGATGCCAAACAGCCTTAAGGTGCCTGAAGCTGATTAATGGACATCATCTGAACCCGTATGTTTGCCAGTGGAGAGTTTTATTCTCCTGTACAGAGCTGAAGGAAACCGCCTAATTAATGCTGCACCATTTAAGTTACTTGCTCGAATTTAATCCAACAGCTGTGTGGAGACCAAACAGATGTGTTTTGTAAATGCGTGTCGGTAACATGTATGATCAACTTTGCCTCTGTGCAGGAAGTTCCAGGAGCAGGAGTGCCCACCTTCACCGGAGCCAACACGCAAAGAGAAGGACAAGAGCGGCTGCCACTGCGTCATCGTCTGATTGGCCTTTCACCGCCGCCACTCACCCAGCTGCTGTCACCAGTCCCCGCCCCTCCACCCTGCCTTCTGACATCACATCCTGCGTGGATGAATCGCTGCCTTTCTACACGTGCATGTCTTCAAAAAAGAAAAAAAAAAGAAGAAAAAAAAAAAACAGCAGTCCTTCTCATAGCCTTATCAGGGATCTCCTGGATCTCTGGGACTTCACTACTAGAAGAACCAAACTGAAAAAAAAAAAACAAAAACAAGATTGAACTCACCATTCTACCTTCAGATAGTGTACTGACATCATCATGACCTTAAACGCTGATAGAGTATAACCGTGTCCCAACACTAAACACCGCTTCTTGAAGGTGCGCTAAAATGTTTTCATTTTTATTTTGTTTTGTATTTTGAAGGATTTTATTTCGTTGCCTTATAGTGACGTTGTTTTGAGGTGATGAAGTGACTAAAAATATCGAACCAACTTGGGAATTTCAAAGGCTTTTAGTCACCATTTTCTTTTTCTTCTGGAGAGCGATAGAGTGAGATGATCTTCTGAAGCTTTGTGCGTGTTGTGCCACATCTCTTTTTCTCTCATGTGCTAATCAGCTACTGTACATAAAGTGAAAATCTGTGTGAGTTTGAAACGCCTTTATGATGCCATAACTCAGTTGCTACGGTGTGAAGTTGATGAGCTCGGCTGACATGCATTAAAGTGAAATGTGTTTGAGTATGTAATGTACATAAATAGCCCTTAACCTTATGCCATCTGTTCCCCTTTGTCAGCAACGAAACCTGTGCTGCGTTTGACCGGCTCGAGTCATGACGGCACATTCGCGCTTCTGTTGAAATTCCGGTTTGATTTCTTTCAGTTGGGTTGGTGTGAAATCGTCTGGTGTATTTTACTACCTGTTGTCGGCGGATTGTTCCAAGTGTCTTTGCTCAGACTTCTACAGACTGTTCTCACACTCAGGTTGCTCTGTACACCGTGTTCTTACCGTGTTCTCTCCGTGTTCGTGCTTCGCCAACAGTTCACAATAGACCTTCAGCACTGAACCAGGTACCTCCTCATGGACCATCACCAATTTGCGCCGTGGCCATATAGCGACCCAGAGACGTCATCTCTGAAACAATTGTATTGTTTTTTCTGGCCTTACTTCTGGATTAATTTTTTTTTGTTAATTTTACACTGATAGTATTCTGTTTTGTGTTTGTGTGATACACAACACACACACACACACACGTTCACACACACACACACACACACACACACACATATATATACACTGCTTGGAAACGGTTTCAAGGGGAACGTCATACTGTATGTATTGAAGTCATCACTTTCGTTCACTTAGATCAAACATGGGAGGTGTTTTCTGGCAGGTGCATCTGAGGCGGACTCCTTTTAGCGTGGACAGTCTGCGTTGTGGTCAGGCACTGAGGAGAACACGAGATGTCTGGGATCTTCTCTCGGACCTTGTTCTGTAACATTTATCACTGGCTACATAATCGGACAGGTAACCATTTTTCTCCTGACTCCGTGCCCCGAGGGTTCACATCACTATTGCTCCGTATAATTTTTTTTGTTTGTTTTTGTTTTTTGGTCTTCCTTTTGTTTTGTTTTTTCCATGTATGTATTTCTGTATGAGGGATACAAATAAACTATTTTAGCTTTGTGTTTTATCATCATGTAATATAAGATAAAAAGATGGAAGTGATCCTTTGAATGGACATGATTAAATGTTTTTACTATATACTTTTATACATTATTTTCTTATCGGACTAGTTAACAAGTATTTTTATATGTTTGTAAGTGCAAATGCTCTCATGGCACAACTGTGTGTATATGTAAAGAGGAGTATTTAATTCTCTCAGTTTGTTTTTTTAACTGAAAAAAAAGAAAAATAGAACAGACTAAAGGCCAACTAGAGGTCTAGAGCTGGGAACCCTTGCGTTGGTCCTCCACTGCGTTGGCCAGCGAGCGCTGGACGAGCACGATCCTGTCAGGGTGGGTCAGCTGGAGGTAGAGCTGTCCCTTTTTTCTGCTGACCTTGGACCAGTTCGTCATGTTCTGGTCCCATAACAAACCAGTGTTTCTCAATTCTGGTGCTGCCCTGCACCTCAGTTTTCTTTGCTCTAGAAACCTGGAATGTTTTTCACCCAAGAAAGATTTGTCATTTTTAGCCCAAAGGTAGGCCTGTCCAATAGGAGAAGAGGTCAGGGGCATTCTTATTGGTCATCCTCACTTTGGGCTTATCCAGCTTGCTAAATGAGTTTGACTGAACATGTTGAAGTGGGCAAAATACTAAACTGTGCAAGGCACTTGGCCAGGATTGAGAACCACTCAACAGTCAGCAGAGAAACCGCAAACAAAAACTGGACAGTGCCCACCAGCTCGGATTGGTCTGGCCTGCTGTTGTAGGTGTTGCGTAATTCTGGTCATGTTTAAGCTGACAGGAGTACAAACACTCAGCTCAGCAATGAAGGATGAAACCAGTGCATGATCCTCCATTCTTTTCTAGCAGAGTTTGTGTACATCTAATCCATATTGTGTTTTCTTGCTCACATCTGTCCGTACCCCTTGTATAGCTTCTGGTGCTATAATAAAGTCTATGATTAAACCAACTGTGATAGACGATGCTTTGCCTTAACATCAGTGGTCCTCCCTTCTGAACTTGCTTTTGAACAGGATTTTCATTTTTTCATCTTCCAAGAGAAGTCCAGTACGCAATTACGGATCCTTTGTCCGTGGAAGATGTTTCATTTCCAGTAACGATGAGTTCATATTGATGACAGCCGTCCTGGTTGAGCATGAATCTATCTGTACGAGGGACTAGCTCTCTGAAGAGGCTGTGAAGGAGCATGTTACCATAGCGCCCTGCAGAAGGCTCTCATAAATCAACTCAAGATCAACTGCAGATTTCTTCTACAAGAGGAAAAAAAGAGAGAAAAACCCTCTTGTTCTCTTTCGCTCTGTGATCTGTGCCCTTGCAATCAAATGAGTCATCCTTGTTAAATAACTGAAAATAAACCCATTGCGATGTTGGGAAGCACAATCGATTCAATGAACAATAATAAGCCACCCTGAAAAGCAATGGGTAATAACACACTTAATGAAATACGTTGCTGCAATTTGTGTAGCTGTGCAAAAGGGGATGACTGCTTGGAGGTGGCAGGCAGATCTGAACACGCAGTCCCTCACAAAGGCTCAGTCAGGCCTAAAACGGCCTCTGTGTTACCTTCCCTGGGGGATTTTAGTGACTGCTGAGTTTGTGATTGCGCTGACTGACCTTCTCACAACAAATTGTTATTTTTCTGCCAGACATTTTGATTGGTACAGTAACTACGCTCACAATTTGGTGCTGTATTGAGGCTGCCAGTGTACTTCCAAAAGGGTTTGTATTCACATGCAACCAAAAGCTACAGTGAAAGACTTTAGAGTGAAACACTGGATGCTAGTTTATCATTTCAGTCCCATTTCAGTACAGCTATTATTACGTGAGGGAAATATCCAAAATAAGACGTCACTGAATGGTTGCCGTGGTATCCCCCCGACTAGTACACACCGATCAGGCATCCTTGTTTCTACGCTCATTGTCCATTTTATCAGCTCCACTTACTATATAGGTGCACTTTGTAGTTCTACAGTTACAGACTGTAGTCCATCTGTTTCTCTGCATACTTTGTTTTTAAACACCTCAGTGTCACTGCTGGACTGAGAATAGTCCACCAAACAAAAATATCCAGCCAACAGCGTCCTGTGGGCAGCATTCTGTGACCACTGATGAAGGACTAGAGGATGACCTACACAAACTGTGCAGCAGCAGATGAGCTATCGTCTCTGACTTTACATCTACAAGGTGGACTGACAAGGTAGGAGTGTCTAACAGAGTAGACAGTGAGTGGACATAATGTTTAAAAATCTCCAGCATCACTGCTGTCTGATCCACTCAGACCAGCACAACACACACTAACACACCACCACCACGTCAGTGTTACTGCAGTGCTGAGAACGATCCACCACCCAAATAGTACCTGCTCTGTGAGGGTCCATGGGGGTCCTTACCACTGAAGAACAGGGTAAAAGGGGGCTAACAAAGTATCAGAGAAACAGATGGACTACAGTCTGTAACTGTAGAACTACAAAGTGCACCTATATAGTAAGTGGAGCTGATAAAATGGACAATGAGCGTAGAAACAAGGAGGTGGTCATAATGTTATGATTGAACGGTGAATGTTTACTACGTTAGAAACGCTGGCATGTCTTGTTAGCTATGGCACATTGTTTTGGTGCTGCAACACTTATTTTCCTGAAAAGATGCTTTTCCTGAATTGTGCTAATGTGCAGAAGGAAATGGACAGTGAACGGTGCAGGAATCTTAGTCCAGGAAAGTGGTCACACGCCATCCTACATTCCTGCAGTTCCAATCTGCATCTAACATGCTGCCCCTCCTTATCTTACACTAATACATTTGAGCCAGTCAAAGACAAATTAATAATTAAACAGTGGTTCCCAAACCTTTTACCGTCCCATACTTCCTTTCCTCCTTTAAACATTAAATGTCCTACCGTGTACCTCCTCGCTGTCTCGTGTGTATATTGCCATGATGCATATGTAAGATATTTAGACTCTAAAAAAATCTATGCACCTTAATATACATTTTATAATACGATAATAATAATACATTATTAATGACGTAAGGACACAATGCACTAGTACCCTCACGACCGGCCATGGTGATACAGGCCTAATTTGGCTGAACTCATTATCTGTGTTTGATTTGTTTTATGAGACAAAATCCCAAATCCATTAGTTTACAATGGAGCTTTAAGGACATATCTATTGAATCATAATGTTGCTTTGATACTGTGACTCAGGGGATGAATTGCCATGGCCTGGACAACAGCTATTGTCCTCTAGTGTTCTACAATACACACGCGGATGGACACCGCAACATATGCACATGAATGCATGTTCACTCAGCACACGAGCAGAAAGAGCATTGTAGCACTGTTTGGGCTCTGAGTGCTACAAAACAGACACGGCCCGATCATTAGTACATATGTTTTCATGAATCTACTCAGCAAGAATGACTGTTAGCATTATTTTTCAAGATATGAGTATCTTGACACATCTCTACACTGAGGTCCTAGTCAAGGTCTGCATCTTTAATTCATGTTTTGATTTATGTACTGACAGCTAATGGACCAAAACAGTTTTTTGACAAATGGTGCAACCATTAACTGCATCTTATATGGACACTAGTAGAAGATTAAACAAGACGGTGGATCAAAGTAGAAGAATAAAAGCATGACCTACGACATCAGATATTGATTGGTCACAATATACTTCACGACTCTTGACATGCTGCACCATATGCACCAATAGGTCAGATATAATTGCTGCAAGAAATATCACAGGACATAACGAAAAGGAAATAACATTTTCCAAATCTCTTCTTTTGGCTTTGTGTACTGGGATTCATTGCTTTATCTGAATCAGTAAAGTTCTGGCTTCTTTCTTACTGCATAATCTGACCGCAGTCGAGTTCTAATTGATTGATTAATTGATTTTGTACGGACATTATTGCATTAAGACAGTTAGCATAACCAATACGCCCACTGGCAACCAGAAATGAATTTCACGTTCATTTTCGTTCTCTTAAGCCATGATTTAAGAACACGTCGGTGGCAGCTTTTCAGGATGTCGACAACAAGCAACAGAGGCTCTTTTGTGTCTGTACCAGAGAGGAGGAAATATGCAGGCCCACCATTAATGTCACAGTGAAAAACATGCCATTTTAGCATTCAGAGGGGGTCACTTTCTTAACCTGTAAGAATTCCTTTTGTTCTCTTCTTCTTTTTTTTTGCTAGAACGAAAGCAGTTTAATGCATTTACGGTTTCTCTGTCATACTCAATCTCATACCCCTCATGCCCTTTGTGCTTGCCACTGAGTCAGTCCCTTTGTTAATTGAGCTCCAGTTGGACTCCCCAGGCCTCTGAGGACTAGTGGTCATAATGCCAAGACCCTCCCGCCTCCGCCTCTGAGCTCCCTGTCACTTCCTCCATTTATGCTGTGGTCTGGTCAAGCAGGAGCCTACTGAGGCGAACCCTTCACTCCTCCCCCGCCCCCCGCTCTCACTCCCACTCTCTCACCATTGATAGATGTCAATTTGCATTTTGGCACTTGCTACTGGTCCGGAAAGGCACTGAAAGGTGCTGGATTTGGAGCTCAGATAGAAGTGCCTGATTAAGTCAGCATTTTCAGTATAGCTGAATGCCCTTTTCCTCATAATAGATAATAGTCATATGTCTTGTTAATGACCAAACTAAATATGATCTTACCTTCGCAATAGATTAGAAACACCTCCCTGCTGAAAAATCATTAAAATCATTAAAGGTTTCTGCTGGTTCCTGGTGGTGTCCATTGGTCACTAATGGTAATTTGTGTTTTTTTCTGATGGGTTGATCACAGTGTAAAGGACCTTAATGGCTTAACAGGATCTGATTCCAGATACATCTGGTGGATCGGATCCAAATGTGTCCTACAGAAAATGAGTGGTCTCATATGGGAACCATTAAGCCAATTCCCATTAGAAAGCAAAAAGCACCAGGGTTTAATCCTGGTTTTAATGGTCCTTTTCAGCAGGGATTTAAGTGTTACAGCAGGCCTCACCATTACCTGCATTACAGTACCTAAGGCTGATAAGGATAATCCTAGAAACACGTTATGAAACATGTTAACAATCTTTTTATCCCTAAAAACAGTCATTATAAGAGTTTCCACAAAGGGGCATTTTGAGCTACAGCACTAAGTAAAGGCACAATGGAAAGTGGAAATGAATGAATCTGAATTGGTAGACTTAGGAACCCCAATTTAGCCAGTTTATAGGTGTTCATGGTACAGTTTGTGACTGAAGTTGGTCTTCTCTGAGATAATATCCTGTCATATTCCTGCTTCTGTGTTTTCCAGGCTTCTGGAAACACTCTACCACTTCAACGGTGGCATCTGTGGAGAAATGTCTGTCAGTCAGTCCACCTCACTGCGCTATGCTAACCCGGGAAAGCTATCAGCACTAGGGCTGATAAAATCTACTGAAACCGTGTTTGCCTGAAAAGATACGAGGAAAACGGAATGAATAAAAAAGGCACTGTGGAAGTTCAGCTGGGGGGATGTGGCGAAATGTGTAATGTCCCCTGCGCCGGTGGTACAGTCCATACACCGAACCCCCTTCATCCAGGCGCTGTGTAGCTCACCTCGGCTCTCACAGCGAAACTACGACGGTGGGAGCGGAAAACACAGCGGCGGTCGCGCATCTCACGTCGGGCTTGTTGTCAATGAAAGTCGCCGTGTTGCTGTCAGTGTGAGCTGAACTGCGGTTCTCTGAAGAACATGGACGGAGTGAGCAGCAACAAGAGCATGTCTTACAGTCGATGGAGTTACGACAGGTAAGGAGGCTGCGTTGCGTTTGACGGGCTACGTGTATTACTTTCGGTTCATTTTCCTCAGAGTGGCCGATTAAATGAGATGCGAGTCAGAATCGTTCATCTCAGCTCGGCTACTGGAGGAACCGATTCAGGCGACGCCAAGTTGTGAAGTGTGTTTGAAGTTATCAGGTTACACAGCGTTTTTCAGAGGTGCAGACTGTGCATCGAATAACAAATGAACTGCTTGGTCAGTGATAAATGGGCTGGCCATAGCTTCATTTTTCAAATCTGTTATTAATGTGTTATTTCCTTTGTGTTAACACTAGGCGTGTGACGATATGACATGTAATAACACAGCAATTGCCGTTAATAATAACAATAATAATAATAATTATAATAATAACATTTTACCACGACACTGTTGGGATATACAGGAGTTCTGAGTTCTACATAGATCCATTTCAGGCTTTGCATGGTGAAATGGTTCTTTATATTGATGGAAAATGTGTTGCATATGGTTCTACATAGAACCTTTTTGAAAATGGTTCTGTGTAGCACCAAAAAGGGTTCTGCTATTGTTATATTCTTGACATCGTAACAATAGAAGAACCCTTTTTGGTGCCGTATAGAACTATTTTCAAAAAGCTTCTATGTAGAACCATATGCAGCACCTTCTCCATCATGAAATGGCTCTATATAGAACTCATGGTTCTACACAGAAAGCTCATGGTTCTGCATAGAAACCATGAAGTGTTTCTGTAGATTCCTCATGGTTTTGTGTTGTGTTTTGGCTTTTTAAGGGGTTGATATCACAATATAAAGGATCCTAATGGATTTACAGGTGACCAATGCATTTGATGGTTTCCTGATGGGATCTAAAGGTGTTCAACAGGAAACTAGTGGTCTATATTGGACACAATCCTATCCGGCCCAGCATGCACGGCAACGCAATGTACGCTCTGACTATTCTATGCAATTCTATGCAATTCCACACCAGTCATATCACTAAACTCACTAGCTGCATTTCAGCTGCAGTTCAACCAATATAAACACCCAACATCGGCTCAGCAGCTCAGAAACTGAGCCCAAGGATTAAAGAACTTGCAGCAAAGAAAGGATGGCAGGTATCTAATTCAAGCAAATGGGCAGGAGATTTTGAATATTTCAGGTATTCATGTAATATTTCAAGGTCTACTACAAATGCAGGTATTTTACTGCTGGAGTTTTTGCGTATTTTTCGATAAACAATGGTCAGTTTGGGTTACAGCACAACATTAATTAACAATGAAATAAAAACGTTTTTTTCCTCTGGCCCACAGATTTGATGGGATTTTTTATATGGCCACTTTAGTGTTTGAGTTTGACACCCCTGATCTAGCACATCGAGTTTGATAGGTTAGCGCTGCCTTCCATGTCCTATGAAGGTGCTCCGATCAATAAGAGACTAAAACAGCTGTACAGACATCAGATAAAGGATAGGCTATGCATGACAGCCTCACACACAACTGTAAATGTGCATCTAAAAATCTGTGGTGAAGCCGCAGCTTGTGAGATGTGAAAACGTGAGACTCGACGCCTCATTTTGACATTTTTCACCGATTTTTTTGTCCTTAGTCATTAGAGTCCCCACAATACACGATCTGTCCTGAATGAAACCGCACACACTTTCAGATTATGCACGCGAACAAAAGTCCCGAGCAACAGTTCCGATTCTCAAAACCTCGCGTGAGTTTCTCACGAAACGCTACATTTCAGAATTTCTCACAAACTGACGTGACTTTATACCTAAACAAACACAGCAGATGACAGTGAGGCTGTGGCTGTGCTGGTGGTGTGCGCTTTCTGTAAACAAAAAGCCAAGCAGAAGAAAAAAAATGTGAATGAAAGACTCAGCAGGGCTGATACATACTGCCACGCAGGCTTGAGGTAAATTCATACATATATACATACGTATATACATAGACGCATGAGGTGAATACATACATAACTATGTCTGTTCACACTGACAAGTTCAGTTCAGCTCGGCTCTCATCAACATTATGTTTTACACCAGAGAATTAGCGTTTACCCCACACTACAGGATCTGAGGAAGACTGGATATATAGATATATACATATAGACACCCCACACCATAGGATAATCTGGGATAATCATTGCTTAAGATCACCCTGATATCGAGAGACCTTTTGTGATTGTTCGGAGGAGCATATAGGCCTCAAAATGGGCCCAGTTATCCTGTAGTATGGGGCCAAGCATAACGTGCAGTGACTGTATTTCAAAACATCCACTATAACAATATTGCGTGCATTAAATTCTGGCCAGTTAACACAGACTCAGCATGTGATGTATTTGGAGAGAAGCTATCTATTCGTTGGACTAGGGTTTACCTTATCAGACCAGTGTTGAAATGATAGGATTTCTGATTGGAAGGCCTAAAATGTATGTACAGTATTACCAATACTTCGCTGATGCGAATGGTTAGCCTCAAGGAGGACCCATCATGTCTTGAGGAGAGACAAAGGTGCTTGCACACTGCTCACTGTGTTGTTATCATATATATGTCCTTGAAATACATCTCATGTGTATTCACTAGGCACCCTCAGGTTAACTGCGGTCACCTCCTCCAGGATCTTCAGCCCATGCTCTTGCCTTATCTGCTTCGCCTCATCCGCTTAGAAACCCAAGACTGGATTGTTTGTACTGTGGGTGACATGCTTGAAGAATCGGTCGAAACCCAGGCTGTGATTGGTATTCTGTGTTTGCTGCTGGTCCAGAGAGACTGCAGAGCGAGCGAGAGAGAAACATCCACTGGTCTGCTGCTTCACTGCGTTTCTCTCTGGGCCTGATCTACAGCGGAGCGAGGACAGCACTGGAGCTGCCGTCCTCGCTCTCACTCACTCTGGCTCTTCCTCTCTTCCTCGCTGTCACCTTTTATGCTAAGAAGCGTCACATTCTGCTTGTGGCTGTTGTCAGGTGTGCACTGGTGAGAGATCAGGCATGAAGGTAAATGGAGAGTGTTCCTATGGTGAAGGCAATGCTTCAGAGAACATCCAAAGTCTCTTGTCTTCGCAGTGGGACGTTTATCCATCACTGAGCGCTGCTGTGAAAACCCATAATCCCTGAGCCCACATAATAATACACTGTACGTACAGCAGCACCTAAAGTCTTAAAAGGCAATTTGAGCTTGGCTCTCTTGAACGTTCACTAAACGAGTACCTTGAGGGAATACGAGCCCATACACTGACGTAAGTACAGCGAAGGGAAAAGCGTAGAGCGTTTTATTTAAAACGCCTTGAATCTCTTTTCAATCGCAACAGTGCCAGAATAGTTTGTTTCAGCCGTGGCTCAACACGTTCCAATTAGATGGGCCTTCTGGCTTCTGCCTGGTTTGTTACAGAGTGTTTCTGAGGTGTCTGCTTGGAATCAAAGATATGAGCACTGATTAGAATGTGTGCACGAAGGCGGTGGCCTTCTGCAAATGCTTGGTAATTCGCAGCCGTGCCCGGCAGGTCTGTAGCGTGCCTGCATTGTGTGGGATCAACAACGCTGAATACCCCGGATCACGAGCCAAGGTGTTTACCAGAGATACCATTCTAACTAAGCGTGCTCCAGTGGGCCTGGATAAGTGTTTCACATTTCTGCTAAAAGACATGTGAGTCTGCTCCAATTATCCAAATAAATGTCAAGTGATCTAATTAGTGTTCTGATTGGGATGCTGAAAAAGCCTCATAGCCACACAGCCTCTTTTCAGACCTGCTGTACACTGGCCATTAGTATTTTTTTTTGTTTTGTTTTTTTCCACTCAAGAGCTAAAAATCGTTGAGGAGCAATTAATTGATGCAATGATTAAGCCACAAAACAAGCCAACATGGTTCTTAACCCAATATGGTTCTCATACAACAAAGCAACTTGTGATCTCTGAGAAGAGCAAGACATAAAGATAAAATTAATTGCATCGGAGAAAAAAAAAACAATGGGAGAAATACATCAAAGACCTCCTTTACTGGAGTTCCTTTGGCAGATTCCCAGTAGATGTGGCTGGTAAACAGACTACAGATTCCCTAGAGATATCACTGGCAAATAAATAACACAAAATTCTCATTAGATCCACAGATCAAAGTGATGAACGCCTTTTCTAAGATCAAGCAGAAGCTAATCTGTGCCTAGCGATCATCCTATGACTCATACAGTCAGAACAAGGCATTTGTGGGGTTAATGTCTTTAGGGGTCAGATGAGTACAGACAATGCGTCACAGGTACGGATGCTGAGGTAAGAGGTCTCCAGCAGAGGACGTCATCTTCGCTTTAGGAACAATGAAGCCCACACTGTAATCCTTAGCTGTGCAGTTACCTCCAATCTCGCAGCGTTACTGTTAAACCCTTCCCTTCAAAAATATTGCTTGGGACAGTGTGTATTAGGACAAACGTAATTGTTAAACAATGTTGGCCGACTGGCTTTGATATGGAAATGAGCTTTTAAAGGTGATATATATGACATTTTAGACATTAATATAGCAGCAAACAACCATTTTCTGTGTACATAAATAGTGGTGTAATGGCGACCTGAGTACAGAATGAAGTCACGCTGCCTCTGCATGTGCTGTAATCCAAGCTTCTCTGGTTTTTTTTTGTTTTTGTAACCGGTCCGGCCGCCCTGTGAAAACGTTGGCCCTCCCCATGTTTTGTTTTGCCCTCTCCAGACAGTGACCACCTGATGATTCTGCTGTATTTTTTGTAAATATAGACATTGCTACTCCTGCTTTTCCCCTTTTTCCGTATCTTATACTAATGATCCAGTCTCATTCTCTGCTGTTATTGTGTGCTGTCCAGTGTTGTCCAGAGGAGGATGGATTCCCCTTTTGAGTCTTGGTTCCTCTCATGGTTTCTTCCTCTTGCTCTTAGGGAGTTTTTTCTTGCCAGTGGTTTGCTCATGGGGGCTTGGACCTGGATTTTTCTGTAAAGCTGCTTTGTGAAAAAGCTGCCTTTTGTAAAAGCACTACATAAATAAACTTTGACTTGAC